TCTAGGTGAATAATTGGGTTGTTTACACACTTTGGTTATTGTGAATAAAGGCACTAGGAACATACCCAGAGGTTGAACTGTTGGATCACATGACAATTCTATTTTAAATTTTTTGAAGAACTTCCACATTGTTTTTCATAGTGGCTGCACCATTTTGTGTTTCTGCCAACTGTGCAGAAAGGTTCCAGTTTCTCTCCATCCTTACCAATTTCCTGGGAATTTATTTCATAACAACCATCCTAACGGGTATGAGGTTATATCTCATTAAGGTTTCACTTGGCATTTCCCTAATGACTGGTAATGTTAAATATCTTTTCATGCACATATTGGTAAATTGGTCATGTGTAGGTCTTCTTTGGAGAAATATCTCCATTTTCAAGTCTTTTACTCATTTAAAAATATTCTTTTGTTTTTTGTTGTTGAGTTGTAGAAAATCTTTGTGTATTCTAGATACTAATCCTTTATCAAATATATGTTTTTCAAATATATTCTCCTATTCCTTGGATTGTATTTTGCTTTTGTATAAATATTTGTATCCCCCAGAGTTCATATATTTAGATCCTAACTCCCAAGGTGACAGTATTAAGAGGCAAGGCCTTTGAGAGATAATCTTTGTAAGATCTTACAAATCTGAAGGACCCCCATGAATGGGATTTGTGCCCTTATATAAGAGACCACAGAGAACTATCTAGCCCTTTCCATCCTGTGAGAACATAGCAAGAAGTCATCATCTATGAAGAGGAGGATCTTCAACAGACCCAAATTTGCTGGACTTCCCAGTCTTGGGCTTCCCAGCCTTCAGAACTGTAAGAAATAAATTTTTGTTTTATATAAGATACCTATTTTCAGGTATTTTGTTATGGCAGCCTATACAGACTATGACATTTTTTTTCACTCTGCAATTTAGTTCTTTTAACCCAGAAAAAATTTTAAATTTGTGAAGTCCAATTTTTATCAATTTTTTTCCTTTCATGGCTCATGCTTTTAGTGTTCAATCTAAAAACTCATCACCAAACCCAAGGTTATTTAGATTTTCTCCTGTTTTTTTCAAGAAGTGTTCCAATTTTGCATTTTACATTTACATTTATGGTCCATTTTTAGTTAATTTTTGTAAAAAGTATAAGGCCTGTATCTGAGTTTATTGTTCACATATGGATGTTCAAATGTTCCAGCCATTTGTTGAAAAAGATTATTCTTTCTCCATTCATCTTTTTCTATCTTTGTCAAAAATTAATTTACTATATTTGTGTGGGTCTGTTTAGGGTCTCTCTGTTTTTTCCATTGATCTATGTGTCTATTCTTTAGGCTATACCATGTTTTGATCATCATAGTTTTTTAGTAAATCTTGAGATAGTGAACTGTGAACATTACAATTTTTTATTTCCTTCAGTATTATATTAGCTATTCTAGGTCTTTTGCTTTTCCATATAAACTTTTGAATCAATTTGTTAGTATTTACAAAACAGATTGATGGAATTTTTATTGAGATTGCATTTAATTTATGTATAAAATTGGGAAGAATTGACATCTTAGCAATATTAAGTTTACCAATTCATGAACACAGACTATCTCTTTGTTTGGTCTTTATGCAAAGATGGAGAAATACTTGCCTAGCTCTAAGTTTTTCTTTTCCAGAAAGCTCAGTTTCAGGTCCTTTACCAGGCCTGGGCCTTATGGCCTAAAGTCTAATTCACACACTGTATTATAATCCACGTCTCTAAGGTATGTATAATGTCCTGCTCACTTCCTGAACCACAGCTTCTTTCAGCAGACTAGATTTCCTTGATTTGATTTAAGGTACTTTAGAGACTTTCCCTATGAGCTTTTAAAATGCTGATCTTTCTTTCTGGGATCTCTGCTCTTTTCTCTATACTTATCTCTAAATCTGAGTTTAGACACCATAATTTCAGTGAGGCTGCATCTGACTTCCTGACTAGGTCGACGTTTCCTACTTTTGCACTCCCTCCATTCTAGTGCTTACAAACCAGGCAGTAGACAAAGAAGTAATTTCAAATAAATACAAATCCTTTACTTTGTTTACTAGTGCACTTTGAAAAGGCACACAAAATCACCAATAATCCTTAAGATATTTTTAAAAATTCCTTTTCCATCCTCTGTCAACACAAACCCTTTTTTTTTTTTTTTTTTTTTTTTTTTTTTCATAGCTTCTTTTCACAGAACCATGAAAAAACTGCTTTGAGTCCCAGGGACTATCAGTTCTATAATCAATACCTTCTGTTCCTAGTTTTCAATATGTAATGAGCTTACCTACCATTCCTTAATCCTTTCCTATTTCTTCCCCTGCCAATTTTCTGAATTCCCATCAAAAAGCCAAAAAAAAAAAAAAAAAAGTTTACAAAGAATCATTGTCTTTGAAGGGTTAGAGAGGAGAACCTGTGTGGTTACACCCACACTCTGCTTTTCAACTCACGGCTCTATCTGCTTACTTCATTTCCTGTCTCCCGTACCCAGGAAAATTATCTGCAACAAAGCAAGCGTTCAACAAATGAATAAATGTCTGTCTGTCTTTATATATAACACTTAAATGTAAGCATTTTTTTCAAATATATATTTCTTGGTTGAAGCTCTTGTTCTGGATATTTTAGTTTTTACACATTTAAACATACTTAGATTTTTCTATTAAAAATTTTAACAAAAATTAAGGTTATGTGTGGTGGTTCATGCCTGTAATCCAGCACTTTGTGAGACTACAGTGGGTGGATTGCATGAACCTGGGAGTTTGAGACCAGCTTGGCCAACATGGTGAAACCCCATCTCTCCAAAAAATACAAAAATTTGCTGATAATCCTGGCACGTCCCTGCTGTCCCAGCTACTCAGGAGGCTGAAGGGAGAGGATCACTTGAGCCCAGGATAGCTTGAGGCTGTTGCAAACTGTGATTGCATCACTGTACTCCAGCCTGGATGACAGAGCAAGACCCGATCTCAAAATAAATAAATCTATAAACAAACAAACACATAAACAAATAAAATAAAAATAGTTCATGATGTTTTGTATGCTTTCCCCTACCTCCACTATTATTATATCTTGGACATCTTATTACATCAATAAAAATAAATTGCAGAATTATTTTAATGACATCTGAACAATTCTTATTTTTTATAAAATAGGTAAGGTTATTTGTAATTTTTTACTAGTAATTATACACTGTGCTATTATTTTATCATTAATATGTAATTATATGTAATTTTTTACTCTTAATTATAAATGATGCAATTTTGAATGACATTTTATATGCATCTTTGTACTTGTTTAAGAATTTCCTGAAGATAAATTCCTAGAAATTAAAATGTTCTGCCAAAGCATATGCACAATTTAAATTATTATGCATTTTCCAAACTGTCCTCCAAAAACTTATGTAAGTTTGTTCTCTCACTGATAGTGTAAACTTACATAAATTTTTTGGAGGACAGTCTGGAATATGACTTTCCTTTTCTTTGCACTCTTAACAACTGAAGGTAACCTCCAAAATTTCGTCTTTGTCAATCTGATAAGGTGAAAAAGCTATCTCATTGTTAATTTTACTTGCATTTCTTTGTGTGATTGGGAAGGTAGTATTTTTAATGCACTTGTTAACTCTCTGTAATTTTTTTCTTAATGAACTTTAATTTCTCTTTGTTCACCTTTTCACTAATTTTTAAGAACCTTAAAAAAATCATACACATTAACTTCTTTTTCCTATATGGCAATGATATAAACATTTTCTCATGTTCATTTTCCTTTAAATGTATTTTTTTTCCTTAAAATAGTAAGTGAGAAAACTCAAGTAGACACATGGAGAGGCCGTGTGTAGGTATTGTGACCCACAGACCTAGCTGAAGTCCCAGCCCATAGCCATCATCAACTGCAAGTCATTCAAGTAGAAAGCCTTCAGATAACTCCAACCCCTAGCCATTGCATTATCCTTAGGCACTATGTCTTCCTAGCTGAGACTTCAAACATAATGTAATAGAAAGAAGTTGTTCCTATAGTATCCTACCTGAATTCCTGACTCAGAAGATGTGAACATTAAAAAAATGATTGTTTTACAACACTAAGTTAGAGGTGTCCTGTTACACATCAATGATTAATGGAACAGCAGTTTTTAAAATGTTTTCATCCCTGTCCAAATTTCAATGGTCATCATCTGCTACCATTCCTTCTAAGGAACATATCAGTCTGACATACACATTTCCAAACTATTCCATTTTCAAAGAAACTAGTCTCACTCAAATACTCTTCACATAAGAGTACAGCTCATTTTTCTGGGCCTTGAACAGGTGAAAAAGTTAAGGAGAGAGTCACTTCTCTCAAACTGACTTAATTTTATTATTTACCTGAGTATTTGAAATAGGGATAATGAGAACCCAAATTGATTGGCTGTGGAATAGAAGAAAGAAACATGGAGAAGAAAATTTTACTTATGAATAACAGAAGTTTGAAAAATTCTACAGTTGTCACTTTGTTGTGTTCTAGATGTTTAAATTTTTCTTTGATTCCAAAGCATACGTATAATTAAAATGCTTATAGTCACTATCTTAGGAAGCTTTCATTTTCTTGTTACAAACCGTTCTTGACTTTACTCAGATGGTAAGCTTCAGTCGTTCAGAACTGATGTTACTTATTGTTCTCCCTCTGGAATGCGAACTCCACTGCTCAAATTTGAGCACTAGAGTTTGAAAATATTCTTGAGTTTCCAGGGTGCAATTTATGATTTTATCTCTAGTGATTTACTTTAGACCCCACTGACACTTAGAACTGACTCTCCCACTGTATTTTAATGTGTACATTTTTGTTCCCTTACTGGATTGAACACAAACAGAATGAGCAGCACTCATAATCACATGCAGTGGCATAGGATGAGAAATTTATCCTTATCCCATGACCTTTTAAGTTGCATATAATTTGTGTAATTTTACCAAAATGATCAGTTCTAAGATGCATTTTAGCCTCTACTCAGAATAGATGAGAAATTAACATTTATTATGTTCTATGTTCCAGGTTCTCTCAGAAATCATCACTGATCTAAAAAGGGGATGACTGAAACATATACCTATTTGAAGATTCCTGGAACCCAGTTAGACCAGAAGAAGCTCAAATGGTAAGATATCCATGACAGTGACATGGATGGGCCATGCTGTAACCAAATTAACTATTCCAAGAAAGGAGGCTAATTTACCTTCCATTGCTTTATAGAATTAGTTTTAATCCCAATATCTAAATATTTTAAAAATGTTTACTGCCATTTAATTTTTTAAATTAAATATACTACTATATAAATACCAATTGGATAATTTTTGAAGCACTGAGAGTTATAAAATGAAAGATGCTGTAGTAATACAAAGAATTATTATCTCCTTGAAAAATAAAACATGCAGGATATATATTCATAAAATTTTCTGATGACAGACAATGATCATCTGTCCTTCACAGGAATAAGATAAAAAATGAATCTTATACAAATAAATAGACAGTTTATAAAGTGAGTAAAATGAAATACCTTAGAACGTGAATAAGTTCTTAGAATAAAAAGAATGTACTAACATTAAATAGCAAGGAAAATTATATTTCAGGGAATATAAAAATAAGCACAGGTTATAGCGAGGTGAAATTAGGATATGTATAATGTGAAATAAAAAGAATAATGTAAGTTGAGTTAGATTTTCTGAGCAGCTACCTGAACTTTTCATGTGACAATTCCTTTCCATTCTGCAGTGAAATGACACAGCAGGAGGTATGACTTTTCTGTTTTCTTAGCATTTTTGCCATTTAGAAATGGAATATGTGAGAGAAGTTATTCTATTTAAAACAAAAAATGGAATTTTAAACATGGTATTATGAAGCTAGATTTGAAATATTAATAACCTGATTTGCATTCTACCTCTCTGGAAAAAAAATGTAAGCAACAGAATTTCCATGCAGCTCTAGGGGTTTAAAATTAGCTTTAGAATGCTACTAGGGCAGGGCACATTATTACAAAATATTTGAAGATTGTACACACCAAGGTGGAAAGGAGAACAATATCTGATCTAAAAGAGAATAATAAAAAGAAATAGGAGGAAATTGAGCAAAGGAAACTTTATCCTACTATCCAAAAAATTACACAACAGTGACAGTGGAACTGAGCCGCAAGGAAGTGCTAAAAGCTTGATGACATGAACCAGTCTACATCTCTCTCTCTCTCTCTCTCTCTTTTGAGACAACCTCCCTCTGTCACTCAGGCTGGAATGCAGTGGTGCGATCTTGGCTTACTGCAACCTTGCCTCCCGGGTTCAAGCTATTCTTGTGCCTCAGTCTTCCAAGTAGCTGGGATTACAGGCATGCGCCACCACACCCAGCTAATTTCTGTATTTTTAGTAGAGATGTGGTTTCACCATGTTGGTCAGGCTGGTCTTGATCTCCTGGCCTCAAGTGATCCACCCGCCTTGGCCTCCCAAAGTGCTGGGATTATAGGCAAGAGCCACTGCACCCTGCCTCAGTCCACATCTCACTGAAAAATCCCATTTAATATTATTCAAAATATACTGCTTAGGATTGGTGGGAGAGGCAACATATAGCCAGCATTATTTTTCTCTCATTTGTGGCAACCCTAGTTGATCAGGTTCATATATATTGTGTGCTTATTACTGCTGCATCTGGAAATTATGAATGTGCGTAGAACATAGGAAAAAGCAAAGGAGAATCAATCATTTAAAAATTTTAGAGCTGGCTGGGTGTGGTGGTTCGTGCCTGTAATCCCAGCACTTTGAGAGGCCGAGGGGAGTGGATCAGGAGGTCAAGAGATCTAGACCATCCTGGCCAACATGGTGAGACCCTGTCTCTACTAAAAATACAAAAATTAGCTGGACATCTTGGCACATGACTGTAGTTCCAGCTACCCAGGAAGCTGAGGAGGAGAATTGCTTGAACCCAGGAGATGGAGGTTGCAGAGAGCTGAGATCACCCCACTGAGATAGAGAGTGAGACTCTGTCTCAAAAAATAATTGTAGAGCTGAGATGATAGGGTCTTCTAAATATGCAATCATGTAGTCTACAAATAGAGACAATTTGACTTCCTCCTTTCCTAATTGAATACCCTTTATTTCTTTTTCTTGCCTGATTGCTCTGAATAGAACTTCCAGTACTACATTGAATAGGAGTGGTGAGAGAGGGCATCCTTGTCTAGCACCAGATTTCAAAGGGAATGCTTTCAGTTTTTGCCCATTCAGTATGATATTGGCTGTGAGTTTGTTGTAAATAGTTTTTATTATTTGGAGACACGTTCTGTCGATACCTAGTTTATTGAGAGTTTTTAGCATAAAGCGTTGTTGAATTTTGATAAAGGCCTTCTCTGCATCTATTGAGATAATCATGTGGTTTTTGTTTTTGGTTCTGTTTATGTGGTGAATTAACGTTTATAGACTTGTGAATGTTGAACCAGCCTTATGTCCCCAAGATGAAGCCTACTTGATCATGATGGATAAGCTTTTTGATGTGCTGTTGCAATTGGTTTGCCAGTATTTTATTGAAGATTTTTGCATCTAGGTTCATCATGGATATTGGCCTGAAGTTTTCTTTTCTTGTTGAGTCTCTGCCGGGTTTTAGTATCAGGATGATGTTGGTCTCATCAAAAGATTTGGGGAGGATTCCCTCTTTTTGTATTGTTTGAAATAGTTTCAGAAGGAATGGTACCAGCTCCTCTTTGTATGTCTGTTAGAATTTGACTGTGAACCCATCTGGACCTGGGATTTTTTTGGTTGGTAAGCTGTTAATCACTGGCTCAACTTCAGCCCTTGTTATTGGTTTATTCAGGGTTTCAACTTCTTCCTGCTTTAGGCTTGGGAGGATGTAAGTGTCCAGGCATTTATCCATTTCTTCCAGGTTTACTGGTTTATGTGCGTAGAGTTGTTTGTAGTAATCTCTGGTGGTGATTTGTATTTCTGTGGAAACTGTGGTGATATCTCCTTTATTGTTTTTATTGTATTTATTTGATTATTCTCCCTTTTCTTCAATAAGCAACTTCAGCAAAATCTCAGGATACAAAATCAATGTGCAAAAATCACAAGCATTCCTATATACCAATAACAGACTTAAAGAGAGCCAAATCAAGAACAAACTGCCATTCACAATTGCTACAAAGAGAATAAAATACCTAGGAATACAACTAACAAAGGATGTAAAGGACCTCTTCAAGGAGAACTACAAACCACTGCTCAATGAAATAAGAGAGGATACAAACAGATGGAAAAGCATTCCATGCTAATGGTTAGAAAGAATCAATATCGTGAAAACGGCCGTACTTCCCAAAGTAATTTACAGATTCAATGCTATCCCCATCAAGCTACCAATGACCTTCTTCACAGAACTGGAAAAAAACCACCTTAAACTTCATATGGAACCAAAAGAGAGACTGCATAGCCAAGTCAATTCTAAGCAAAAAGAACAAAGCTGTAGGCCTCCCACTCATTTATTTTTGCTTATTTACTTTTAGTTTTGTTTATTTTTAGTTGTTTGTGCTTTTGTTGTCATAGTGAAAAAAATCCTTGCCAAGACCAATGTCAAGAAGCTTTTTTCCTATACAGATGCTCCTTGACATATAATGGGGCTATGTACCAATAAACCCATCTAGATAAAGATAGATAGATAATTAGATAAGACATTATAGAAAGTGGTTTGCATGATTATGAGTGCCAAAAAGTCCTAAAACGTGCTGTCTGGAAGCTGAAGAACCAGAAAAACTGTTAGTATAATTACTCTGAGTCTAAAGGCCTGACAACCAGGATATCTAATGATATAATGATACCTAATTTTAGTCAAAGGTGTAAGGTGTGAGAATGAGGGTAGGGGAATTGGGTGAGCCTTGCTGCTAGTCTTGCACTCTGAAGGCCTTAAATCTGGGGTTTTCATGTCCAACAGGAGAAGAAAATGGGCATATCAGCTCCAGAAGAGAAAGCAAATTCACTCTTCCTCTACCTTTTGTTTTATCCGGGCCTTCAATGGCTTGGATAATGCCTGTCCACATTGGTGAGGGTGAATCATCTTTACCCAGTCTTCCGATTCAAATGATAATATATTCTGAAAACACCCTAGCAAACACACCCAGGAAAAAAAACGTTTTACCTGTGTCTTGTGCATCCCTGAACCCAGTCAAGTTAACACATAAAATTAATTATCGTAATCTGCCCTCTTTTTCCATCCCTTCACTTTCAGCCTAAGTGTGTTCTTAAAAGTAAAATTAGGCTTCTGTAGACAGCATACTGTTCACACTTTTAAAAAACTCGATTTAGCCATCTTTGTCTTCTGAGTAGAGAATTTAAATCATCTACACTTCAAGTAATTATTGATAAGTATGGACTTCCTTTTGCCATTTTGTTGTTTTCTGTTTCGTAGTTCTGTTTATCCTTTCTTCCTTCTTTCTGTCTTCCTTTGTGATTTCTTGATTATTTTTAGTAGTAAAATTTGGGTAATTTCTCTTTCTATTTTTATTAGTTTTTTAAACATGTCACCACCCTAATTTTTTTTTTTTTTTTTTTTTTTGGAGCTGGAGTCCTGCTCTGTTGCCCAGGCTGAAGTGCAGTGGCAAGATCTTGGCTCACTGCAACCTCTGCCTCCCAGGTTCAAGTGATTCTTGTGCCTTAACCTTCTAAATAGCTGGCACTAAAGGCATGTGCCACCATGTTCTCCTAATTTTTGTATTTTTTGCATGTTGGACAGGCTGGTGTTGAACTCCTGAACTCAAGTGATCCACTCACCTCAGCCTCCCAAAATACTGGTATTTCAGGCGTGAGCCACTATGCCTGGCCCTAATTGTCTTTTCCTTTTATACTTCTTATTAGATTCATTTAATTATTAAATAAATATTTAAGGCAGAGGCAAGGTTAATATGTTTGAGTAACCATGGAAGGCCATTGTGGCTAGAATAGAGTGAGCAAAGCAAAGAGTGATTGCATATGACATATGAGAGAATGGCAGGCCTTAGATCATGTTTAGATCTAGTCAATAGTAGGGATTTTTATTTTATTTTATTATGTATGTTACAGTTAAGGTGATTAACTGTCTCAGTTAGCTTGGTACCAGTAATGTTTCTGGAACATGGAACTTTCATGTTAATCTAGGAAAGTG